CCCCAAAACCCCAAAACCCCAAAACCCCAAAACCCCAAAACCCCAAATATAATATTCTTGTTGAAAATTAAATAGTTATATGCTTGTAAAGGAAGTAGGGCTCTTTAGCTCCGGCCAGACTTGGAGGCTGATTGGAACTAGAGTGTCCTCATTCGACCTCTCTGGACTATTAGACTTTATGATCTTCTTTGAAAAACTACAGAATTACATACTCAAATACATACTGGAATTTGTTCTTCAGAGCCTCATTGCGCTTAATCTGCCTCCGAAGATTTTTGGGTTTTATATTAAATGACACTGATTCTACAAAACCTGATGAGAAGTTAGGAGATCTATTCCTTTGTCTCGAAGGATCAGGGAACATCTATAGTTTCAAAACTTAGGCTAGCCTACTCCTAGTTTGTTAGTCTTCTTCTTGCATCTTTTACTAAATGCTACTCTTTGAGACTTTATGCTGATATTTTTAAACTCTCTTGAATCTTCCTTCTTGGGAGATGAAGACATGAGTTTTTGACGCTTGGCAATCTTGAGCATTATATCCCCAGTCATCCTTGCTGACTTTATCGAGTTGATAGTTGTTGCTAGTTTTCTAAAATTTCAGGAAAGGACTTTACGCCATTGCTCTATCAGAGTCAAAACTAGCAAAGTTGTTCTTATCATTAAAGTTGTTTATAAGATAGTTCTTTACAACAGAGTTGTTGTACATTTCACGTGGATAGCGTAGTTTGGGACTACGAAAACCTAACCTTGTCTTCACGTTCTTCATTTTTGCCTTGAATGACTTCTTACATTTCAGAATCTTAGAATCTTCAATAAAGCTTTTAGTAGTAGTGTTCAATTTTCTCTAGAGAAAAGTTTATAGGTAATGATTACGATCTTCGACCTCAGCTCTGAAGGCATTTCTTTATTGATCTGACTCATGACTAAGCTAGGCCTCATATTAATAGTGTCTCTCTTCTGGTTAAATGAAGTAGTTTTGGTATTCAAGGATGTGCCTGAAAAGTCAACTCTCTTGCTCTTGTTCAACTAAAGATAATTACTCAAGCTAACCTTCATGGAGATATCATCATCATTAATGACCAATGTGTCTCTTTTAAAATGACTCGTATGTGAGATATCTTTATTACTCTGAAAATTTATTGAGCTGACCTTCACATATGGGACAGTCTTCTTTGGTGATGGTTGTGAATCATCTCGAGACCTTAGCTGCTGATCCTCCATGTTCCTCTGCGCTATTCTTTTCTGTAGCGGGCTTTCATTCTCCCTCCTGTAAGAATAATATGAAAGACTTACTTCATTTCCTCAATTTTATCTAGATGATTTTTAAATTTATTGATGAACTTTGAGTTATCTTCAAATTCTCTATTTTTATTCAGATAGCGAGTAAGGCCTTGCTTCTCGTTCTCAGCCCAAGATTTGATGACTTCTAGAATCTCTTCATCAATCTCCTCAATGGCTTTTATCAGCTGATGGGTTTTAATTTGGAGGCATGTCCCAGTTGTTGAGTGTCATTTTATGGTAAACGAATATGGTCTCCCGCATACAGCATCCTGATCTCCAAATATTTTGCCAACTCCTAACTGACCCACCTTCGCTAATTGATATTTTAGTTTTGATTTGTGAAGTATTTTGTCATTACTAGTATTCCTCGGCCTAAATTATTAATACCTGATTGTTACTGAGTGTAATTTATAAGCTTCAGAACTTCAAATTCTCCCTCCTTTACTAAATATACATTGTCGGCCTGTTCATTTTGCTTGATTATAGTGTTGTTTCGAATGTATTCTATCTCTTCAAAATAAGCACTGAGCTTATTTTAAATCATTCATCTTGAGATCAGCAAAGTAAGGAACGCCTCTAATCAGGTTATGAATTCTTTCCCTGATCTTCTTGTACAGTTTCCCAACAATCTTATTTATAGTCCTGCTTGGAAACAACTGCGAAGAAGCAGTCGGTAATGCATTTTATAGTAGCTGATCTCGGCTTGTAATCGATGAGAGCCATGTCTCCGAAACATTGCCCTTTCTGTAGTTGGGCTACTTCGATTAATTTATTTCTTAGCAGGAGCTAAAGGATAAGCATAGAGGACTTACAAGATTCTATTGTCTCGGCACTAACTTTGATAGGAATATGGACTGAGACAGTCCCTTTACAAATAATATAGAACTTATCACCATAATCTCCAAATCTAAAGACTCTTTTACCCTGTGTGAACTCCTCGAACTTGATAATTCCTCAGATCTCATCTATAAGGTCCTGCCTGTCTTCTTCCTTCTTAATGACAGATTTGTCTTTAAAGAGTTGAATCTGGCTGACCAGGTCCCTCAATTCTTGATAACTCATATTCTTGTTCTCTTTACTCGTAGAACCTATTCATTGTTAATTATTCAAAGAGAATTCAGATTTACAAGAAGGCTTGAAGGTGTAACTTACTTATCAAGTGAGAGACCTTCCTGATCCTTGAATTATTTCCTGTTAGTCTTTTCCGTATCTGCTTTGTCAGTGCTGAACAACATATTTGGAGACAACAAGCTACCTATAGTGGAGTTAGCATAATTGGAGAATTTGCAAACTCTTGTAAAATTATATCAATTCAGCATATTTTATTATGTAACAAAATTCTAAAATTACAGTCCGTAATTCATAATTCATGGAAACGACTACTTCAACAGTATTCTTTTGGAAGAGAGTGTCATTTTTATTTAAAGGTAAATTTGCATAATTTAGAACCAGACTTGTCCTATTTGCAGAAATTTTATGTAAAAATTACAGAAAACAACATCTGTCGGTTCTCCAGAGATGTTACTTGCATTAAAAAGAGGTGTAAAATCTTTTATAGCATTAGTGAAGCATCCTGGATTTTTATTATGTATTAATCCTTTTATTATTCCTGACATAATTATAAATTGAGGAAATTCCTACATCCGCAAAATTTATAGAAGATTTCAAAGTTATATATAAAGACTTGGAATATCAAGCTGAGATTTGCGTATGATCACCAAGAAAATAAATTCTGTAGTTTTTAATTTGAACCTAAACTAGGAGTATTTGAAGGATATAATAGGCGAAGTTCTATAGAAACATAAAATTACTTTCTCCAAACTCATAACTTCTAACCTCCCAATCTTGACCCAAAAATGCTTTAAAAATACCCCAACCAGCACAAACTTCATCCCCACCCCTCAAATCTAACCCCCAAAACCCATACCTAAAACTTTCTCCTCAACTCCCCTTCCCCTCAAACCCCCTCCAAACTTACTTCTCAATTCCTCACCTCCATTCTCCCCTACTTGCAATAACTTCAGCCTAAACCCCCCATCCTGTTCCTTCTCCTCTAATCAAAAACTTTTATCACCCATGATTAATAATATTAGAGAGGCTCAATTAAAGTATTTTAAGTTGGGGTTTTGGGGTTTTGGGGTTTTGGGGTTTTGGGG